TCTGAAGACAATCTTCCGTGGTCACATGGCCAGTGAGACTTAGACACGGAACGCTGTTACCTTCCCACTGAGGTGGTCCCTATTGATCTACTTGCATTTGCATGCTTTCGAACCGCTAGGTTGGCGGGAGCTCACTCTGTCGCATGGATTCGATCTTACGGCTGCTGGTCTTCTGACCCTGCAGCACAGGCTTCTGCGGTTTAGCCTGCAGCGCCACCACGTCCCTACAATACACCACGTCCCTACTTAGGTATGCACAATTTTTATATGCATGTGTACGCAAGTACAATATAATATACCTCTGTATCTGAAAATGATCATTGTATCTATAACTGGTGTAAATTCAGTGCCTTTCTTTTAGAAGTAAACACTTGCTGAGAAAAATTGAGAATCTTTTGCTTTTCATATTTTAAGAACTGATAGCCAAAATACTATCATAGAAAAGAAGAACTTTTCTCCATTAATATATTCTCTGTTTAATCTTATATTAAATTCTTCCTCAAAAGGGCAGCTCATTGCCAAACAAGAGGAGGGGCATCTCACCCCAAAATACAGGGTGATGCACCAGACCTGCTTAGACCATGAGTGATTTATGACTGAAAACAAGTGCCTTAGCTATGGAGAATGTTGGTTTTGTATTAAAATTGCAACTTTACTCTAGAAGTGCTTTGTTTTTGTTTTTGTTTTTTTAAAAAAAATCATATTTGCCTTATTTTCACTTAATATATTCAATATCACTTTTTCATGTATTATTCTCTTTTTATTGAGTTTTGTAGACCGAAGTTTCCCTCTCCATAGCATACTTTCATGTCCAGAGGGGAATGTTCAGCAGCCTGAAAACTGGGCAATGGACCACTTCTGTCACATAACTTGAAAAGCTAATAATTGAAAATGTGGGCACCTGAATATGGAAAATGTGGGTTTCCCCCATCCCACCTCCAAAATAATTCATTTTCCACTCCTATTCCTTCTGTGAACAATTCCCCATATAGTGACTTCTCATGCAGGACTGATTTAGTGACAAATAAGTAAAGGCTGCTGAGAACTCTAAACAAACAAACAAACAAACAAACAAACAAATAAGCTATATTAATTATTACTACCAGCGTGATGAAGGATCAGCTTTTTTGGCCATTGATTTGTTTGCTTCCTTGCAACACTGATGCAATACACTATACAATCAACCCTCGACTTACAAACGGCCCTAGTTACAAACATTTCGACTTACAAACCGCTCTGATAGGAAAATATTGACTCGACTTGCAAACTTAAATTCGAGTTACAAACTGAAAAAAACACGTGTGAGGCGGGGAAAGAGTGACATTTGAACTTTCAGTTAACCATTGGCCAGTGAAGAGGGTGCCTGTCTGCTTCCTCGCTTTTCCCAGTGTTTTGAGAATGGATTTGGAGACAGTCTTCAGACTGCCTGGTACTGCCTAGTATTGCCTGGTATTGCCTGGTACAGCGCTGTACGGGCTGTATTTTTATTTTTTTTGGCTTTTTTAAAATTTTTGATTTTTGGATTTTAAAAAGGTGTTCCCTCTGTCCTTTGCTGCCCCCTGTCCCCCAAAAGATGCTTGTCTTGGCTTGTCTTGGCTGAAAAGGTGCTTTTCAAAGTGTTCTGTTGAAAAAGCGTCTGTTCCCTCCTTCCCTCCCTCCCTCTTTTCTTTCCTTTTTTTAAAACCTAAATCATCTTAGATTAAAAGGAAAAAAAGAAAAAAATTCTGCCCCTAGTGGTAGGAACGGATTAATCGGCTTTGCATTAGGTCCTATGGCAACTAATGATTCGAGTTACAAACCGCTCCTCGACCTAAGAACCAAAAACATCCGGAACCGATTAATTGGTTTTCAATCCATTCCTATGGGAAACACTGATTCGACTTTTGAACTTTTTGACTTACAAACTTCCTTCCGGAATGGATTAAGTTTGTAAGTCGAGGGTTGACTGTACAACTTTGTAATGAACTATTTAAAACAAATACAGTAATGAACTATTTAAAACAAATCATGACAAAGCACCAACACATTGCACCACAAGAATGGCCGTATCAGCTAACAATATGTACAATATCAACCACACCCTTTTGCAACAACAAAAGCCTAAATATGAATATGGTCCTCCTGGGAAACATCCCTCTGGAATTTTGCAGAAGGTCATGTCCTCTTCCCCATTATGATTCTGTTCATATGTTTTCCAATTCTTAAAGGCTGAAACTCCCTCTGCTGCCCAAGCTCAGGTACTAGCAATATGTAACGTGTGGACCATGTACTACAGGTTCTGTGCTGCTTCCACAATAAGCATGTCCTGAAATAAACATGTGAGTTTGTGTTTAATCCACTCCCTAAATATCAAATACCCATTAAATCAATGCCAATTATTCACACATCTTATGTGCTGTTTGTGTGCAATTTGAACACTTACTCAGCAGGCAGAGGCAAAGACGCAGTCCCAAAACCAGCCAAATCAGGGAGCTGGACAGGGGACAGATTGTATTTGTCTTCAATGTGGAAGGGATTGTCACTCTCGAATTGGCCTTCTCAGCCACACTAGATGCTATTCCAAGACCTCTATTCAGAGCATGTTACCCTAGTCTTTCGAGACTGAAGGATGCCTACAAGGTATGTGCTGTTACTTGCTCCATGGTTACCGGCCAACATCCTGTTCAGTTCTTGCATACTCCGAACTCTATATGCAGAAACATCAGTGGTGATCAGATCATGTGCAAGTCATGAGCCCCACTGGCAACTCATCAAACTCCCATAGCATCATCTGTAGTTGGAGCTCCAAATGTCTATAAATACTGCACAGGATACTGGTCTTAGTGCTGAATTCTTACCCAAGCGTGAAAAAGATACACCCAGTGGATTTCCCAAACAAACAGTATCCTCTTTAGTTTTCTACATTTTGTCTATAACATTTGAAAGTATAACATTTGTTATCTCTACACAACACATCAAGATTAAAAGGCAAAAAATTCAAAAGATTTCAAAAAGGCATCAGAAGTATTTGGCACAAACAATCAGTTAGCGTCTAGGCTGAAGCAATGCAGAGAAACACACCAGGAAACATTAAAAATAGCAAAACTGCTTAATACTTATGCACTAGTGTAGCATCAGCCTGGTCTTGGAGCATACACAGTGTGACTCCTTCCCAGAACAGCAATTGAGCATAGTGTCTCCTAAGAGACAACTAAAGTAACTTCTGAACCCCCTTTTATACATTAAGCATCACATTCTGAACCACTTGAGGTAGTCTGGCAATCAGACTTAAAGTTCCCTCGAATGTGCAGGAAGAGCAGTTTCTGGTCCTCTTCCTTCACACAGATGAAGTCATTGGAAAAATTAGCACAGTATCAGGGAACAAGCAGCTTTGACATTGAAGTCGTCACCCAAGAGATAAAATGGCAGGTGGTACAGTAGGACCACCATATCCACAGGATCAGTACCCTCACTTATCCACTGCTGGGGGGAAAGAGAAATAAAATCCAGAAATACATGTTCCCAAGATATATTACCAGGACTGACTACCAGATGGAACCAGAGACTATGCTATATACAGGTGGCTTAATGGAAGTGCACTTGTGGCCTGGTGCCTCTGAGAGAAGCAGCTTCCAATGAAATGGCAAAGTTGTACAGTATTTGGTGCAGGGAGGGAGGGCAGCCAACAGTTGGTTTCAGAGAAGCCTCCTTTGTAAACAGGAGGGCAGGAAACTCAGTCCTTTAGCAAGACTGGGCCAGGGATTCCTCACCCAACCATTCACAGAAACCAAAGAAACTGGAAGTAAGTGCTCTGCTTATCTGCTGTTTCTAGTATCCACTGGGCCCTTGGAACACATCTCCCACGGATACCACGATCCTATTTTACTCCTGTTTTCTTACTGGTAGAGTCTGCCTCTGCCTGTCTCCCGGTCAGCCTTTCTTAGGCACTGACAGAAAAGCCTGGATTTTCCAGAGTGTTCCACAACCTGTGCTCCTCATTTCTCAGTTTCTTCACATTATGTTCCTGTCTTGTGGTCAAATTCTGACTACTGCTCATAAAGGGATCTTACCTTTCAGGAATTCAAAGCCATTCTTGGCCTATTTGTTAAAAATGTAGCCGCTGTCTCAAGATCTCAGGCACAATTTTGCAACCTAATATTTATTTTGTACAGTATTTTTCTTCAAACACAATTCTAGCAGCTTCTTTAATGCCGCTGTCTCAAGATCTCAGGCACAATTTTGCAACCTAATATTTATTTTGTACAGTATTTTTCTTCAAACACAATTCTCCACACACAGGCAAGAGCTTCCTAGCAGCTTCTTTAACACCAGATAATTTTCAGGCATGTAGTCTACAACCGGGGTATAATTCATTTTTCGTTATATCACCGCTTGCCTACTAAATCCTGACGTAATTGTGAGTCAAGAGAAATCCTTAATTTATACGTGGCTCCCATAATCCAACATCAGGTCCTTCATTATTTCCCTGATTTGATCAGAATGGTCAAGGAAGGAAGGCGTGTGGAGCGGGAGGGACCTCTTGACCACACCTCAGAGGTTTCTAGATGACAGGTGAGGAGCATAGTCCTATTTCAGCAACAATCCCTCCTACAAAGGACTGCTTCACATCGAATTTGATCTTTTTGGTGTGTTATTTATGTATACAGAATAGTTCATTGGTTTAGGTATCTGGCTACGAAGCCAGGGAGGTGGGGAGATCGATTCCCCCAATGTGCTTCCCTGGGCAAGAAATAGCCTGAGTGGCCTTGGGCAGGCTGCACAGTACCAACCAGGATGCCTCCAGAAGAAGGGTTTGGTAAACCATATTTGAATGTGCTCCGTTTAGAAAATCACGGAAAGGGTCGCCATAAGTCTGAGCCAGCTTGACAGCACGCAGTTACTAATATTAGTGTGCACTTAGATATTGAAAGGAAACGCCTTGGTTTTATTTGCAGCAGTGATTTCCTGCCTGAATACATTTCTTTAAAAAGCTGAAGAAAGGGCTCAGTGAGTCACGCTGCCACGTTGCATCTCCCGCACTGGAGACCCGTGGCGGCAAAGGTGATGCGCGCGCTTCCTTCCCTCAGCCCGGGCGAAGCAGGGCCACCTGAGAGGTGAAGCTGCCCGCCGCGCACCCAGGAGCTGGCAGGGCTTTTCGTTTCCATTCGCAAATAACCTGAGCACAACTTCGCCCTATTCCTCCTCTTCCTCCTCCTCCTCCGGCCAACCTTAAATTCACCCCGTCGGTAGGGCTACCAAGCGTGGGTGCCGCTGGACAGAAGGCGCAAGAAGAGGCGGGCGACGAGAAGAAAGGACGAAGACGTCGCGAAAAACGAAGAGGGTGGGGAGTGTGCCAGGGCTTGGAGTAACCACACCCCGAAGGCGGAAAGTCTTCGGGTGGGGGAGGAGAGATGGTGACAGGTGCTGTGGGAGCTGCTGTTGGCATCGAAGGAGGACGGACTCTTGGGAACAGCCGCCGCCGCCGCCGCCTCCCACTGCCGGGTGTGCAGCCCCTTGCCCTGCAAAGGAGCTCCCGGGCAGCTGCCGGGGCCCGCCGTCCCTCGCGCCCGCTTCGCCCCGTCCAGCCAAGGAAGCGCGCGCGCATCCCGGGACGATGGGCTCCCCTCAGGCTTCGCCGCTGGCGCACCTCTTCAAAGGGACCTTCGCGCACGCCACCCCCTCCTCGCCCATGGACCTTCTCCAAGGCCACCTATTGGGGGTAGAGGAGAGCGGGAAGGTGAGCCTCTCTAGGGCAAAAGGCGCGCGATGTCGGGCGGGAAGGGGGGACACGGACGGGGCCCGCTCGGCTGCCTCCATTGGGCACGTGGGGTGGCTCGAGAACGAGCTCCTTCGAACACGAGGGCGTGGGTGGCAACGGGGCGAGGCAGCGCCCCCCTCAGGTGCGGGTGTGTGTGTGTGAAGGGGGGAGACAAGGCAGGGGAGAAGCCGACAAAGCGCAAATCCTCTCTCTGTGTGTGTGTGTGTGTGTGTGTGTGTGTGTGTGTGTGTGTGTGTGTGTGTGGGTGATCGGGACGGGGGGGGGGAGGAAGTTACTGAAGCCAGGGGGTACCTGCGGAGAAGGACGGGAGAGTTGCGTGGGGAAGCGTGAGCCAGAGTGGGTTATATAACGTCTCGAGAAGACGAAAATGCTCTCCAACCACTACCACCCCCATGAAAAGTGGGGCAGCTGCGGAAACGTGGAGAAAGCTTGCGCAAAAAGAGAAAAGTGCCGTCGGGTATTGTAAGGCTAAGGAGGTTATATAACGCCTGACGGTGGGAGAAGGGGCAGGTTCGGTGTGGAGATACGATGCGACCAATCAGAAAGGATGGGAGGCTAAGCTTCACTCAACCCAGTGGAAGGCATCAGCAACATCCAGAGTCCAAGAAGAGGGGAAAGTACGTTTTGCCGGGCCCGTTCCTACCTTGTTGGGAAAGGAACCGTGCACCAGCAGTTTTCCCTTGGAGAGCCCAAAATCGCAAAGCATGGATTTCACAGAACTCTACCTTGGGCTAGAGTTAAAGAGAACAGAAATGTATAATGTGGGTATGGTAGAGAAAAGATGTGGCTGCAGAAAGCTTTGGTAAATGCCACCAAATGCAAAAGGATCACAAGGGTGCTCGGGGACATTAAACAATGAGGTTTGTTTTATGACAGGTTACAAAGCATTTAATGGATTTTGAATAACTGTATTAAATGCAATATTTTATGCTCGAAAGAGTGTAGTAAAATTATAAATAGTGCTTCCTAGTTCTGCCTGATCCTGTATCATTAAAACTCTTTTATGGTTTTATGAGTGTAGGCATTGCCATGGTTGCTAGATATAATGAATGACAACTCCTATAATTCCCAGGGATCATTAAAAAATGGGGCACTTGGGTCATCCCTATACTTCTTTTTCCAGTGTGATTCTGGGTTGTATATCATGGTAGATAACTGCTTACCATGAGTGAACTAATTTACATTGATCCATGAAAAGCGTGATCTAATATACACTAGGGGTTTTTGAGTATTCCCTCCTAGAGAATCTTAAGATATAGTAGTGGTGACACATTTGTTGTCAGGAGTAAATCAATACTGGGTGTATTGAAGAGAAGTTGCACTACAGGACAGTCTCTTGAGGGAATGAAAATGCTGGGAGATTTTCAAGAGAGAACATTAACTATTTGCATGAAGAAGTGAATAGATTAGTGCTGAAGCTTTTGTGTGTAAAATCAGGATTGTATAAGTCGCATAACAAACCTTTTGAGGTGGCGTGTGAAGAACTGTTTCCACTCTGTGGCCCCCTTCAAGTGTGCTCCTGCCAGGGGCCCATATGGCCCTCTCTGAGAATGACTGTAATACAGTATTCATGAGCATTTGGTTACAGCTACATCTGTTTGAGACACTTAGGATCATTGGGTCTCAAAGCACTCACTGAGGTCTCAGGAAATTGTTGTTTTTCTTGGTTTTCAGAGAGATTACTCCAGATGTAAATAATGCTGAAGGAGGAGGTTTGATTTTTGTGGTATGGAATTAAATCCTAGGCACTCATCCCCACCCATTCCCATCTAGCATCAGGGCTCACTGACTTGACAGAAAGGTGCATGAATATGTGCTGTATTTGTGCAACATCAATGTACCAATAAGTCATGAATAAGGGACAAGGATATGGGGGGGGGAGGGAGAGAATGCATGAATGCTCTTGGATGCATCCTACCATTTGGAGCAAGCTAGGGAGTGGCATCCCCAGCACAGCAATGTCTAAGCCTACTTGTTGCACAAGCCTGGGCAGCAGTAGTGCAAGATCTAGATTATAAAACTTCCCGCAGGATGGCAATGCACTTTCCACAAGTCCTAGCATCAGCACAGGACCTGGAAAAAAAAACCCTATGGGCCATGTGTGTGGTGTGAAGTCTAGGCAACAGCCCTAGAAGAAATGGTTACGGCAGCCATTGAAGCTACTGGGCATATTTTACTGCCTGCCCAGCCTCTGAAAAGGCTGTTTTTCTCTCCTGTTTCTTGGCTGACATATATAATCTGGATAGCCAGATTTTGTCCAAATTCTTGGTCCATGTACCCAGATACTGCTCATGCTTATCTCCACAGTGAACTGGTTCAGAGGCAGTTCTAGCCTTCTGATGACATCACAAGGAACTTCTCCATACTTTCAGATTTTGGTCTTGAAATCTCAGGGAATCAGAGACTGCCAGGCTGGCACCACTACTGAAATTTGTTCATAGATAATTTGCATATAATTAGTATATGTAATATAAAAGCAGAGGTAGTTTGTAATGTTCTTGACACAGCTTGTTTTTCTGAGAAGGCTTGAAATGTAAGAATAACATTGCTGTGATGTTAATTTTCCATTGTCTGGTTCCAAATAATTATATTCTTTCTGGAGAACGTTTCCTATTCCTTTGAGGGTAGAAATAAAATTGAAATGATTCACCAGCAGCTTTTTTTTTAAGTGAGCTTTTATAACAAAAGACCACAAATTAATGTTTTTGTTTTTTAAAGGCTAATTACTAATCATGCTCTCGCCTGCACTAGCCAGCTCTGCAAGAGCATGTTTGCTCAACCATTAGGCATGTTGCTCAAGTCACCCAATCTTTGCCATTTGGTCTACCTGTTTTCTTGATGCCAGTGTTTGAATTCTTATCCAATTCAAATCTCATTTTACCTGTTGAGTTATTATATATTCTAAAGTGAAAGATGAATGTAGTGCATTATTATACATATTCATTTTCAAATCATGTGTGAAGAACTTATGACTGCAGTGACTAATAAATGAATGTGCGAGGCACAGCAATGATCCCGGGTTTGTATTGCTTCATTTTACAGATCCCTTCATATAACTTCCTTTTTAATTTGCAACCCTGTCATACTGTGTCTTTCTTCCACATTTTATATGACAGTAAAAGTTGGTTTGCAGAGCTGTTGTGCCACACACACTATCATAAAATATTCTCATGTTGAATTAGATGAGGATGAACAAAAGTTGTCTTTGTCCTGGAGGTGTACCTTTAGCTGGCAGTTATTTTTTCTTAAGGTGGTACATAAAGAGGTGCTTGTCTGACAGAGGCTTAACTGATGTTGCACTTATGGATCTTTGTTATCTCCCCGCCCTGCCTCCCCATCTCTCTTGAAAATTGCCCTCTGGCTCATCTGGTTTCTGAGCAGAAAGCTAACACCAGCTATTTGAAACAAGGGGGGAAAAAAGAAAGGAAATAAGATTTTGAAGAGCCCCAGAGAGTTTTCAAAGTGAGCTCCTTCCCTCAACAAGACAAATGTGCCCTTCAGAGAAAGATACATAAGGACTGCAGCATGAAAGACAGAAGAACACAAGAAGAGCCGTGCTGGATGAGAATAAAGACCTGTCTAGTCCAACTGTCTGTTCACACACGGGACAACCGGTTGCCTATGGGGAAACCCACCAGGAGAGCAGTGGTGCAGCGGCACTATTACATTCCCCAGCACTGTTACACAGAAGCATATTACCTCTGGGATGTGGGGAGATACTTGGGCATCCTCACGAGTAGCCATCAATGGCCCTAATCATCACTAATTTATCCTATCTGCTTTTAAAGCCATCAGAGTTGGCAGCCATCGTCACTACATCTTGCGGTATTGAATTCCACAGCTGAACTATGTGCTGCACATCCTTCTGGAACTCATCACAGTCCATTCTTGTTCTCATGGCTCTAAATAATTTAGTATCATCAGCAACACTGGTCACCTAAGTATTCACTCCTAAATCCAGATTATTTATGAACAAGGTAGAAGACACGGCTCCCAGAACAAAATACTGTACCTGAGACTGCCATCAATTTTCAGAGTATTGTAACAGTTTCTGAATAGCCAGAGACTACTGAGAAACTGTTACAGTAGTAGAAATTAATCACTACAACAGATGCCAAAAAGAGGAACTTGACGAGAATTTAATCCCAAAGCACATAGGGGGCTTCCATAATATAGAGGCGTAATGTGGCAAGGAATTTGCCCAGCCTCTGAAAAGACTGGGAAAGGATTATCTGGAAATGCTGGGGAAAATAGAAAGCAGCAGGAAAAGAGGAAGACCAAATATGAGATGGATTGACTCCCTAAAAGAGACCACAGGCTTGATCAGGGCAGCTGAGAACAGGTCATTTTGGAGAGCACTCATTCATGAGGTTGCCATGAGTCAGAAGCAGATTGATGACACATATCAGCTGGATCATTTTTGCCCCCACCCCCCCATTGACACTTTCAGAAGTCTCTAAAAGACGAATGAGATAGGACTTCCCTTTGCAAAACCACACTGATTCTTTTTCAGCAGGGCTTACCCTTCTTTATGCATAAGTTTTATCCTTAATAATATTTTCTACTGGAATAGATGTTAAGCTAATTAGTCTGTGGTTTTGCCAGAACTGTTTAGCAGGGGCAGCTCAAACTATATAACCGCTCTAGGTGAAAAGCGATTTTGCTGCAATTAACTGTATAAGCACTTGCAATTACATCTCTGGTCAAAGCTGTGATTGAGGGATGCTGTCATACTTGTTACTGTCTCAGACTCCCTTTCCCTACTGTTCTGGGACAGAGTATGACACTTTATTCTCATTTTCTAAAATATTGAGGGGCTTCTTAAATTCTGACATACCTGCCAGTCAGTTCCAATGCTTTGTGGCATTGTATCATACCTGGAACATTCATTTGGCTTGTTCCACAAAATTACTCCCCAATTTTGCTCTACTAATACGTCTTCTCCCAACCTACCGTGA